TATTTAAAATAAGAAGAAAATATGAAAATGTATATTTAATGAATTTAATCGTGGAGAGTGCCTCGGATGGTCATCAGTAAGTTTCCGGACTTATAACTCTAAAATTCGGGGTTCGATTTCTCGCGATAGTTAGAGCGTAGATGGCCCATTGTGTAGATTGTCACTAAATAAACTATCAACAACAATGTCTTGTACTGTACTTAAGTAGGTTAGAAGGGTAATTAATGCAAAATACTCAATATTCGGTTTTTCTCAAAACGAACCCAAACTGTGCTGTATACCTTCTTTAAAGGAATGTACTATCATCAGTTGCACAATGAATGTAACTAAATGATGTATGAATAAAGTATGTTTAGCATTACGTGTTCATAGTATTAAGCTATATATCTGAAATATATATATATACATTATTTAACACTAACACAAAGTGAAAAATAGGTGTATTTTGAACGGACGAAAATACATTCAATATCTGTACACATTTTTGTGACAAAGTATGTTTTCTTAACATTACTACGCAAATTTAATTTTCTTCTGACTTCCGGTAGATTTAATATAAAGTTAAGTAAATTTATTATTGACATTCCCATATTTGAAAATGTGTGTTTATAAGATATAATGATAAGGTGAAGGATTTTATTTTAGTTATTATAACTTAGCAATTCAGTGCAAAGTTTTCCACATGTTAACAAAACACACAAGAACAATCGATATGTTTCAAGTGGTTATTAGTAAATTCACTATCAAAATGTTAAAATGCTTGTAATTACTTTCACATTTAAAGTCATTCAAATATTAATTTAACTAAAATCTAAAGGTTTCTGGTTCTACTGGGAGTCTCTTCGTTTGTACATATTCTGTTAAAACTGTGATAAAGTTATGGAACTATTTCTAATCCTCTTTTAAATTGATTAAAAGGGCCCCAAATCCTTTAAATAATCTATACAAAACGATCTAAGTTTCTTGACCTCAGTGCTTCGCAGTTCAATAACACACAAATGAAGGTTTTTACAGTAATCTCCCAAAACATAACTGTACTTAAAGTTTCCTATATAAATATTATATTTTTACTTAGTGTACAATGTTTTTAATAAAGAAGTCGGAACTGCTTGTAATATTCGGCTATGCATGCCAATGCCAATATGAACTGTTATCTATCGATTATTTTAAAAAATAAATTCACAGGAAGCCACAGCCTTAAATATTCTGAGTTTATAATAATGAGCCGTTGAAAGGGTACTAAAGTTTTATGCGGTGTTACCTAAATCCTGTATAGGAGACCTTAAAATATTTGGAACATTTTGAGATTAATTTCGCTCCTTTTTTGTTTTTTTAAGATTTCATAAACTTTTGTGTAACATACACAGCAGACCCAAAATGAGCATCATGATAACATTTTCACAATGAAGTCGTGATTTACGTAACTTTGTCGAAATCTGGTCATCATTACTATAACCCTTATTAACAATAGCTAGTTTCTAAAATTAAAACACATAATAAACGTTAACATGTTCCAATGTGTTCAGTTTTATAATTCTATGTCGACTAATTTAACTTAAGAAATAATACTTTGCCCCCTCATTTTCATTTGGGTTTTGTATTTCTTTAATTGTGAACTTAAAATATTCTTAGAGCATTGTGACGAAATATGTTAGATAGGTGATAATTCGTCTGAGTACGACTGTTCAGTTTGTTACTGTTATTCAACTCAAAGAGCGTTATAATGATAAGATGTAAGCTGTTGAATGATTTACAACTCAAATATGTATTACATGGAATTATAAGGACTCTTGTGATATGTGCTTTGCAGTTATCTGCATCTTTATTTCAGTCCAGCAGTTCTCAACGTGGGCCATATGGCCACCCAGGGGGCCACGCCATATTTCTAAGGGGCTACACGTGAATGACGGAAAATTAGCGGGCCACAGTAAATTCTGAGTGGGCCACCGAAACTTCACTGCCCAAATAAAATAATTAAAATTTACAATTGAATCAAAGGTTCCCTTCTTCCCGTATCCCCCACAGCTCAGAAGTCAGGTTACCAGACGCGACTAGTACTCGAGTATCAATTAAAATGGTATCTGTGAATGGTTTTAGACTGATTATCAAGAGCAGCAAAGTGATATAACAACCCAATCTAGATTGAAACGTGATAAACATTATTTCTGGATAAGTAGTGAAATAACTAATATGTTTCTACAGCTCTGGGAGAAGGCAGAGTTGTACTTTATCGCTTTTCTAATATCTTGTCTGGTTGAATCTAGCTTTAGTCGGGTAAATTATTTGCTATCAAAAATACGTAACCGCCTTGATGTTGTAAAGAGAGGTAATTTACGTTTTTTTTACTTTATATCTTATACTCAGAGTTAATACGCTATTAAAAAATATATATATAATTTAGTGCTATGTCTGAGAACAACGTTTCATTTCCGAAGCAGAGGAACCAACTAACATATTTTATAACTTTTGGGAAGTTAGTTGAGCCTAGTGAGATTATCACTGAACACACTGCATTTAAAAACATTTAAACACTTTCAAGTGTTCATCTATCTCAAGGATCACACTGAATAACATGTCAATGTTTAACAGAATATTTTTTACTTGTATAAGTTTATTTCTTTGTAATTAAGCACAACGCTACACAATGGGCTATCTGAGCTCTGCCCACCACGGGTATCAAAACCAGAATTCTAGCGTTGTAAGTCCGCAGACATACCGCTGTGCCACTGGGGGCACTTGTATAAGTAGACAGTATGTTATAAACAAAAATATTTAAAAACAATACAATATTGTAAAAATAACATTATAATATTATAAATATATTATAAATCAACAGTGTGGATTGCACCTGATACGTTTGTTCAGTTATAAACTTCAAAAACTCATACATATATGTATAAATGTTTATTTGAAGAATATATAAATGCCAAAGAAAACAATTTAGAGGCACATTGCTGAAACCTTGGTTTGGTTTGTTTCGAATATTCGCTTTCTTGAATTTTGTTTGTTTGTTTGTAATTAAGCACAAAGCTACACAATGGGCCATCTGTGCTCTGCCCACCACGGATATCGAAACCCGGTCTCTAGCGTTGTAAGTCCGCAGACATACCGCTGTGCTACTAGGGGGGGGGGGGCTTGAATTTTGAATTGATAGCTTAGAAGGAAGGCAACTACTTAACAGTACCCGCAACTGACTCTTGGACTTGCTTATTGAAATAATATTATTTGAGACCACCACTCATATAACTCAACAATGGCTATGCTTATTGAAATAATGTTATTTGAGACCACCACTCATATAACTCAACAATGGCTATGCTTATTGAAATGATATTATTTGACCACCACTCATATAACTCAACAATGGCTATGCTTATTGAAATAATATTTTTTGACCACCACTCATATAACTCAACAATGACTCCAAAGTGTGGAGCGCGATTTTATTATTTTGCGGAAACAGGACGTGAACCGTGGACTCTTGGATTCATAGTCCCTGCTGAAAATAAACATATATAATTGAACTAGTAAAGTTCTGTTGGAAATCTAAGATGCAACTACAAAATCACATAGTTGATTATACGCTGGTGTAAGTTTTATAAGGCTCGCTTAATTTTGTTTATTTGTTTGTAGTTAAGCATAAATCTTCACGATGGGTTATGTATGCTGTGCCCATCACCAGTATGAAACCCGGTTTTTAACGTTATAAGTTTGCAGACTTACCGCTACGCCACTGTGTGTGTGTGGGGTGGGGGGGGGGGCGTTGCTTTATTATATTTCATAGAGAAAGTGATATATTCGATGCCTGTCTTACAATAATTTAGGAAACAATATATATATATATATGCGTACTGATCTAAGAAATTATAACAGAAATCAACGAATTTACTTTTTAATAGTTTAGCATACATTTAGATCGAAATTTAAGTTTAGAATAAACATTTCAAAAACAGAATTTAAATAAATAGAAATAGCCTTCAACTATTGGGGTTTACTGAAGGTGATGGACCATCTGATTAGTCTTCTGGATACATACTTCTAACTATCTAAAATGGTGAAAATAAAACAAAAACTACATTATACTAAGCTTACATTAGGATCATAATATGTAACATAACAGCTGTGTATCAATGTTTCAGGTTATATAAGCTCTATATGGTATGGAAGTTCCTTCCAAAGAAAAAAAAATGGTTTTCGGCAGGAAATAAGATATGAACTCTTTCATCAGCCTAAATCACAAGTTTTTTTGTTTGTTTTGTTTGTAATCAAGCGTAAAGCTACACAAGGGGCTATCTGTGCTCTGCTCACCACGGGTGTCGAAACCCGGATTCTAGCGTTGTAAGTCCGCAGACTCGGGGGCTAAATCACAAGTAGCTTAGTAAACATAACCCAACATAATCATACAATATTGTTTTTGAAAATCGTTATATCAGAAAAAAGGAAATTAAAATTCAAAGTTGTAGAATTTAAAAAAATAATTTTGCTGTCATCATTAGAATGAATATCTGTATAACCTCACTCTGCGTAACAGGCTTCGAATACCTTCAAGAAAGAATGTTTTTTGAATAATAATATATTAGACACTGAGTGTGATAACTATTACAAAGTTTTGTAACTATACTTACAAATAAGATATAAAGTATGTGTTAATCTATAACGACATATTCTTATAGATCTATAATAACATAAATATAGATCAGTTTTTAATTAATTGTATTATTATTATTATTACTGTATGATATAAATATATACCATGTGTAAAGATATAGTACTTACATAAAACTCTATGAACATTAATACATATGTAGATACATAACGGCACCAATTATATTTTAAACATTATAAAACATCTTTGTGTTGAATGGGATTGAAAAAAAAATTAAGTCGTTAAATGTGTTTTTTTTTCATTATTGAAAATCTTAATTATCGTGGTTCCTATTGTTATGTGATTTACAGCTAAAAATTCTGAAATATGAGATGAAACATTCCTTCTAACTTACCTGAACCCTGGCACTTGTGTTCTTGGTTATCTTTTTGGATTCTTTGGATGAGCTGTTTCTTCTTCCTGGATTTTTGGGAATTTCGTTCGTGAACAAAATTCGAGCAATCAAACTGTATAATACGCAAGATAAGACAAGAGGAAAGATGTAAAACAATATTAGATCAGTGAAGAAATATCCCACGTATTGTTCTCTTGATAAAGCAAAAGTACAAGTTTCTTTATTGGTGTGGCCCATGTAGAAGATACGTTCCGTCTTGGTGAGGAACAGCCAAGGAGAGCAATAAATACAAGCAAACGCCCAGACTCCGATGATGATTTTCTTAGCTCTGCTAACGGTACAGACCATCTGGGCTCGCATCGGGTGACAAATAGCTATGTATCTTTCAATTGTAAAGGCCGTGATAGACAGAGATGAGGCGTTGATTCCTAAATACTGGAGAAAGATGAATAGCGCACATCCTACCCTCCCCCAGATCCATTCGTCACCAAGTAAGAAATATGATAAAATCTCGTTAGGGACCGAAGCTATCAGAACCATGAGGTCAGCAATAGAAAGACTAACCAGGTAGCAGTTGGTCGGAGTCCGCATGCTGTGCGTCCTTCTTACTACAATGACTACCATGATGTTACCTAAGACCCCTACTAAAAATATAATGCTTTGAAAAAACGTACCAATTATTTGATAATTTGGAGAATAATAAGAAGGGTCCAGGTAAGTTGAAGAAGCCAGTAGTTTTTGTTCGTCCAAACTTAACGAAGTGTTTTTGTCAGTGACATTGAATAAATCATAGAGAGCCGTATCTGATGAGCCCTGATTACTATCTTTTAAGTACGAAGAGGATGTTGAAATTGCCATTTTCTTCGAGTTCTTTGTAGTTTTTTTAGTTTTTCTAAGTTTTTCTTGAATTTTTACATAAACAGAAATTTATCTTTTATCTTGTGGCTGACGGTCGGTTTCATTCACTTAGCTTTAAGGATTTAAGAATTTAAACAATATTCTATCTTTATAACCAAAAGATCAACAAGCTAACACTTGACGATCATATCATGTAAAGTTATGCGATCTCATTCAGAAATATAAAAGTACTCGCAAATAAAATCAAGTGAATTGCATAAGCTGTAAGAGTGTGCTTATTATATATAACGTATACCCTAACCACGGCAATCCACTCGTGAAAGCATTTGTGACTTCACGCGCGGGATGAAACGTTGAAGTAGCAAGCTGTTAGGTGGCCACCTCATTCTCGTTGCTTCTTGATCATTCTTCAACTGAACATCTGCGCATGTTGAAGTTTCCATGGAAACGAAAATAAGAGACATCACTCTTCTGAAAAAGGTACTAACTTCCTCAAGACTATTAAACAGCTTAGAAACTACAACTTGGGTTTCTTGTAAATTTTGTACGAAACATTTGGATTGATTATAAAATTTTGCCCTCAATGGAGTACAGTCCATGTTATAAGTATTTACTTGTCTGAACTATATATACAACTGTACCTGCTGTAGAAGCCAGTTTTTATTTTATAAACCTGATGTTTTTATGTACTTTCTTTCTTAGTTTCATTTATGAAACTAAAAGATTCTATTGAAGTTTTTATCATCGTTTCTTCAGGTTAGTAAATTTTAACACTCCATACTCACACCTTGAGTTTAAGTAATGGATGTATATCGAACTCGAGTACAATTAAAGCGCATTAAGCATAGGGGTGTGTTTGTAGCATTGTAATTAACAGTAATATTACGAACAGCGGTATCTCTGAGGACTTACAACACTAGAATCCGGGTTTCGATACCCGTAGTGGCAGAGCACAGATAGTCCATTGTGTTGCTTTGTGTTTAACTTAAAACAAAGATTTAGAGATATTGACTTGGATAAAATATTACTCTGTTACAGATAGAATATGTACAATATAAAATAATATATAGTTTCAGAAATTCATATATAGTAAAGTGACTCCTGGCTCTTATATCTAACACGAACAAACAGTTCTGTTTACTACATTAGTTTATCAAACCATCATTATAAGATACAAACCATTCTTCGAAGTTGAAAAACAGCGGACTATTGATCCCACAAAGAACGAATAAAATGATAAACAACACAATAGCGTTGAAATGCAGGAATGTTGTCTTTACCATTGGAGAAACTGTTCAAACAAAATAGACGACGACACTTTTGCCATTTTTTAAATAGAAAACTCAATTTCAGTCCTTGTTGAATCACTTAAGTGCTTACTGTAGATGAACACAGATTCTAAATTTGCCTTTGTTGGATTTGACTGCTGAAAATTTGTGTCATTCATTCCCCTTCCGAATTTTTTACCATAGAGTAACCTTTACTACATGGAATTTTCTTATTATTATTATACGTATCATTTAGTTCAAAAACAGAAGTTAATAATTTGGTACATCTGGTTTACAAACTGATCAGTGATTTCGTGAATATCATAAAGAGCTTGAAAATGTAATGTGTATTCCACAAATAAATTATGTCCTGATTTTATTCATCAGTAGTGTCACTAGGAACTATTTAAACTGACCTGTTAGTTCTGTATTTTGATGTCCGTTGTTTCTTAGCTTATCGTTTATTGGAGTTGGCAGTTTTCAATTCGAAAGTAAACGTAAGCAGTTTTTATGACCCCGACTTTCCACAATTTATTTTTAAATGTCAGGGTAGTTTGAACAGTTTCTTCAGAATTAAACCCAGTAGTACCACATTTCAACACTCAGGTGTTGGTTATCATTTTATTTTTTCTCACTGTTGACGAGACTACGTTCGTCGAAAGTTTAATACCTTTCAACGAACGTCTATAACCCAGTGTAGTGAGTTATTCACACATCTATCTACATTATTCGAAGGAATGTGATAGTATGCCTTCTAGATCGAGATTAAAAAAAAAGTTGTGCCATGCAGTAGATAGAGAAATGTTATATATTAAATAAACTCTCTTCATTCAACGTTTGATACAAAATTACAAAGTAAAAATCATTAAATAATAAATAACATGTCATTATAGAGCACGAATGTTCCTTTTTGGGTTTTTATATTCTGGTAACGTTGAGTGTTACGTCAGCACCTACATTGACAGCCCATTTAAATGAAACAGTAATAATCTATATATTATGTTTATTTCGAGGAATCAGTGCATCTACACATTGAAAAACATTGTTATGAGAATATGCTCAAATATTTTTTGGTATATTTGATATAATGTGTGTGAAAGATTTGCACATATGAATCTAAGAATACCTTAAATAAAGTGCTTTTTTAATATTTCTAATTATATATATATATATATATATATAAATATATGATTTTTGCATAAGATGGTTTCAAAACTTACTAGTTTTATTAATAAGAGCCTTCAGATAATTTTTATGAAATTTTATAGATACTAATTATTTTACTGTTAACCTTTTCTCGACTAAAGAAATTAACTAAACCTTAAATTAACCGTAGGTACTTACCGTAAAACGGTGTTTACCCATTGTCGTA